CGAAAAAACTAGTGTTCAGATGCAAAGAAATACATTTATGTAATATATTAGCGGAAATTGGACGAAGAGGGGAATCTGGCCAAGAGAAAACATACTCAGAAGAATATTGCAGTAGTAATTACCATAGACATTCAAAACGATACGAGTTTCATGACATTGGTATACCGAACTTGAAAGAATCAGAGCGTCATCAAATAAAATCTCAATAAAAATAGTTATAATAATTAAATTCAAGACTTTTTTCTCTCACTTTCGAGATTGAGAGCTCTTATTTAAGATCGATATGTTGAGGGAGAAAATGGAGATAGTGAAATATATAATCATTTTGCTCACAAAATATAAAATTTATTAAAACATTAATAAATAATTATTTAATTAAATAATTTACTTATTACGACATTATTTCTGTGGTCATATAAAAATGATCACACTACAAATCGATATTGGTTTAATCGGTTGTCTTTTTCAGAGGAAATTTGGCGTCGAACATCTTTCTTAGTGTAGAGATTGGGGACACGACTTAGACAATTGTGTAAAAGAATCGACGAGCAATGAGGATGGGTAGTTGCTATTTATTTTTTATTTAATTTTCTTCTTGTTAATTTCTTTCAAGAATTTCTAGGGTGTATAACATAAATTTGGAAATACGATAATACAGAGGCAAGATGCCAGCGGTTTAATAATTATTTCTATGATTTTTTGTATAAACGCCTTAATTAAGATAATTATGTTACTGGTTTGCCTCAGTCACGCTTTTCTTTTGACTTCCAAAATAATTGTTCTAATGAAGTCATAATGCAACTAGTGCTTTCATAAATCAAGTAGAACGCTTGTGTTGTAATGGTGCTTCTTAGAGGACCCATATGCGGGCGCTAATTGAACAAAATCAAAACGCATATAAAAGTTCGGAGTTTACTCTATTTTCAGACGCGTTAATAAAACGTGTGTCCTTTACTAAGCGAGACAAATATGATCTTCGATCAGAGTCCCGAGACTGCGGGCACATCCACGTGCAGCCGACATCGGCCTCCGGAGCACGTCATTTCTCAAAAATAGTGCGCAGGCAAGTCTCTGAGGGCGAGGGGGCGGAGCGGGGCCGGGGGCAGGGGGCGGGATCGCGCCAGACAGGATGCGTCCAGAACGTGCGTGCGCGTGTGCCACGCCCCCGGTGCGTCTGCGCGCGTACGCGCTGCCCACGCGCAGCTGCGCGCAGACGCCACGGGGGCTTCGCCGTCCGGCGACGCGCCAGATCCGCTTAATTACGCCGATCGAAGTGTGTCATTGTCTGGGACAGAACAATGAAGTCCCGCTCTTGTGGGGCGGATTTTTGTGGTTGTTTTATTCGGTAAGAGGGTTAAGAGTTTCACTGTCAACTTTGTAGTTTTGTTTTCTCGCCCTGGGGGAACCTTTGAACTAATCAACGCATTTGGATGATCCAAGAACCATATCGGTTCGATCCATTTTCGGTGTGGGAGAGAGATACTGCCAGTAAAGGTGCGTTATCAAAGCTCGTAATAAACACTGTGTTCAATTTTTGCGCACCCTCGTAGGTGAAAAACTTCTTTTCTCTACAATCGTATAAAAATAAAGAAAAAAAAATTACGCACCGCTACGCGTAACCGTACATTAAAAAAAACAAAACAAGATGCCACTTTTCGGTAATCATGAAGAGGAGACATGAAACAAATAGTGGTCCGTAATAAATGTATTTTATACGAGTGAAAACAAAATAGTTTATAATTCGTGAACGAAATGGTTGAGTTTTGTATAATCATAATTGAGAGATTTTTGTTTCGATCAATCGGCTCGACAAAAATAAGTTCAATCTTCATTATGCAAAAATAAATCATTCTACAATAACTATTTACAAGTATTTTTTCTTCATTGAACGATGATCATCGCAGAAGTGACAAACGAGAAGAGATCCGGCCTAGTTTGAGGTCTCTGCCCTCCTTTACTTTCTTTAGAAGCATGATTACTTTCCAGTAGTCTGGTGAACCACTATTTAATCGTCTGGTTAAGTTGTTTCTAGGTTTATGGAATCCCCACATAGTTTGGAAATGGGTGCATTTACTTCTCTTCATTTTATCTTCAATTATTAGAAATTGAGTTAAATGAATGTGCAAGAAAAATAATTTTTGTATTTATCGAAAGGCAATAGCAGATCAGAGGAGGCAGGCAGTTCTCAGGGAAAGGACGACATAAATTATAATTCATTTTAATACCAACTTACAAATATTTAGTTCCTACACTTCGAAACCCGATGATACCGTCACTAATAAGAAAATCAATTCAAAATAATAAAAATATCAGTGGTTTTTCGTAACTGATTGTAGTGCAGTTATATGAAGAAATGAGTCGGGCAGGAACTGAAGTAGTCCAATAAACTCGATGCAGCCAGATCAATGTTTGACAATGTAATTTATGATCTCATAAATTCCAGAATTTATGAGAGGTGAAAGTGATCGTTAGAGTATAGGGACACTGATGTTTTTTTTATCCTGCTATGTTTTCACTGTATATGAAATTCATAGGGTGCTACCTTTCTACAAAACAGAGAAATCGCAATCGTCATTTCTACGTGAAACGCGATTAATGAAAACGTTAAATCAGTGAAAAATCGCGGTTAAAATGCAGCTTGTCAGCGCGAAGTCGAGGCAACTCTCTCGACCTCGATCCCTGCAAGTTCACCGAACGGCGGTGGCGTAGAGAAATTTTATAGCGCGCACGAAGAAAAGAAAACATGAAGTCATTAACACTTGATTTCTGTAAATACAGACATTTGTGCACATACTTATCGACCTAGAATATCCTTTTGAATTGGCGTTCTCTATTTCTGAAGTGGTTTTCTAACAACTAATTAGAATTATAAGGGGGTATCAGTAAATTGGTTTATTTTGTGCAGTTTATCAATTTTGTTATGGATATAGAGTGGTAAGTACGAGATTGAAAGGAAACAAAACGGAAACCTGTATTTTCTTACAATGAAAATGGAGATTTTCACCGTTTCGAAAAGAGTTACAGGTTAAATGAAGTTAAGATGTTATTTCGATGTTTTTGCATCAAGTTAGGTATATAAATTGCTATAAAATAAATAGAAATTATCTTTCAAATGTTTTTGATCAATTAATCAGTAATCAAAGAAAATCATTGTTGGAGCATAACATTTGAACTATTTGCTGAAATGCCAAAATATTAATCACGAATCATAAGTATACGAATTACCACTTTTCCAATTTTTTATATTTGAAGATATAATTTGTTTAGTAGTATCTATTTAAACATTTTGAAAAACAATTAAAAATAGATGAAATAATAGATAAAGTAAAAAAACCAATATAGTATTATAGTACAAACTTTTTTTTTATAAATTATTACTATTGATTTTTTTAGAAAGTATAGCTAAAGTGAATACGGTGCACCACAGCTTCATCGGAAGTTTTTTATTATCATTGTTCTATTTAAACGGGGGATATAGCATGTCTCGGCTACTTCCTGAGTGTTACATCCCTTCAATGGATGCACGTGTTCTCTTACGCAACTCCATTCCCAATTGCTCCAACCAGACATAAATTCTCTGAGTGACAGTTCTAGCCTGTTCCATCTAGTTATTCCATTGAATCCGCCGCTAGAGTAACAAAAATTATTTTCAGAAAGTATTACTGTGATTAATGACCATGTTATATATGACGTTTAAATTATATGAATATACCATATAAGAGAATAAGAGTATATTAATTTGGTTTTGACTAGAGCATGAATAATTTTTTATTGAACACCACGCGGAAATTATTTGTAATTATTTGTGATTATGAACTGCTGTATTTAATTGTGTAATTAAAATCATTAAAATGCGAATTAAACATTTATCAGTATGTTATATTAGTCAATAATCCAAAAAAGGAAATTTAAATCTATCAGCGGAAATATTGATCTGATGAGGAGTTGTAATTAAAATAGTATGACGATAGCACAATATTTATAATTTTTTTTTAAAGTTGGTTAACTTGCATTACTCTTCGATCGGGAAATGGATGAAAGCTCACCCTTTGGTCTCGTCAGCTGGTGCTTTCGTCACGTTACACTAATCATGGGAATAAGTTTGTAGCAAGATTTCACATCTTCCGGATTTATCTCTCGAGCCCCACTTGTTATCCCACCCACCGTTTACCCCATCACCATCAGTATTCACCGACTACCGCCCCACGAGCGATCACTGTCACCTCTCCCCACACGGCCTGTTCCCCCAGGATGCGGTGGACGGCGGCGATTCAGCGATAGGCCCCCCTCTGGACAGTTTCATGATCCTCGCGGCAGAAGTGTTGTTTATCGTATATCGCCTGATATACAATTAATCCGATTCTAGATTTGTCACTTGTGGTGAACACACTTTTGAATTTTCAAAGCGAGAAACGCAATAAAAAAAATTTCGGTTTCACATATTTGGGAATGTTCAATGATGCAGATGCATTGGACAGACGAAATTTTCAGGTCCACAGAGGATATTATTTATCACATTCGCACTAAAAGAAATGGAAATTGCTAATTGGCGCCCCTAGATCCACCGCAGCAGTCGTTCGTTGGCGCCGGCTGTCGCGTCCGCGAGGGAGGGTTGGACGCCGCGCGGAGACACTCACCTGTTTAGCGGTGCGCGGAGGCGACGAACTGCAGAGCAGGCGGAGGCCGGTGCTCGGAGGGCGACGGCGCGGCAGGGCTCGCACGACGGGCTTCCTCGACGCGCAGGCGACGATCACACGGGCACGGCGCGAATTGTCACGGTGGCTATCATCGAGCGCATCCTGGCTCGGGACCCCCCGCACGCCGCGCGTACTACTGCACGTTCGCCGGGGCGGGAGTGTTAAATTCGCCCGCGCGTTTCCGCAGTCGTTCGGTCGGCGGTGAACCACAGTGTCGGGGACGTGCTTGTCTATCGGCAGGCGACGTCGTTATCCGGCGCTTTCTGTATCACAGTAAGGTTTGAGCACTCGCTGGTCACACACTACTCCACTTGCCACGACACGCACTCGGGGACGGCGGTCTTCTTGGGCAGCGTTTGGCGGTGGCGCAAACGCTGTCAGAACGGAAGTGCCGGCGCCGACGGGGGGAGTTTGGGCGGGTTCAGAAGGGTCGAGGCGCGGGGCGGCGAAGGGGCACGAGTGGGGCTGGCGAGGCGGCATCGCAGAGCCTAGTGCGCAAGAGGGGCGTTCGGAGGCGGGGGCGGCCGGACGTGAGCGCGTGGCCGTTGGAAGGCGAGGAGCGCCGGCGGGTGGACTGGCGGAGCGAGCGGCGGGCGGGTCTCGCGCGCGGCGGGCGGCGGGGCGGCGGCGGGGCCGCGGAGGGCCGGGCCGGAGGAACTGTACTCGTGGGGGGCGGGCGCCGGCTGGAGAAGCTCCGAAAGGCACAGGCCGCCGCCGCCGCCGCCCTCTCCGGCCCCGCTCTTTCCCGCCGCACCCCCACCCCCGCGGCCTACGTCGGCGCCGGAGCTGCTGCAGTCGCCTCTGGCGCGGGCGGCGCGCGGTGTCTGCGCACATGACACTCTTCTCTTTGCCCGCGGTACTACTACCCCCACAACGTGGGGGATGTAGGGCACGGTCGGCTCTCAATTCTGGTTTTAATTACGATGTAACATTTCGAATTAAAACGTCCTGGTATAATCAGTCAATGTTAGTTTAAAGTATATTCTGCATGAAATTTGACTGTTCATTTTCTGATCAATGATCTTTGTAATAAAGGTGAAAATTTAAGTTTTACGATATTACCACGTACCAAATAATCATAAACGGTAACAGTACAGGAGAAAGATTACGAATAGCAAACGGTTTCTTGTCGCATGGAGATCGACAATAGTGACAGGTGTCAATGGCAATCCTCAAATAAAATAAATACTGGAAATTTTATGTACGTATACCATGAAATTTTTTGAAAACTTCTATGTTTCTGGACAAATATATTGATCTGGTGAAAACATCGAAATCAAAATATCGATGTTACAATATCGAGGTTTCTGATCAAAAATATCGGTGTTTTAAAAACTGATGTTTTTTGTCATCCCTTCCCCATGACGGTAGTCGCCATGGCTGGGCTGCAGGTCGTGAAGGGGAGTTGTGTGCTTTAAGTAACGGATAAATCCACGATCCCGTACACGCTTACAAGAAAATGTATTTCAAAGAGCTCGCAGCTGTTGTGATAATAATATTCTGTGGTGAAACTCTGTGCCTACTCATCGTGATTCGTATGATATCATAATTCCTTTGGTAGATGGACGTATGCCAGTCCTTGCTAGTTCTAAAACGTTATGGTGAGAGTAGTTCAACTCCTACGGTGCAGAGAAACCTGAGTTTGAGTAGCATCACTCAGATGAGCGTGTGTGCGCCTGATCACTCCCATTCATCGTTTGATGTTATCCTTTGTAGTAAGCTTTGTAATAAGTCTCAGATAGTAAACTTTTTTTTTTGACGACTACCTTCATTTTGAATCCACGACTTTCACAATTCCAATGATCGTGCGCAAAGACAGTTTCCCTATGAGGACGAATTTTTCTCATTATTATTCGCCTCCATGTAACTGAAATAGTCTAAAAATTGTTCCATATGTTACGCATGTGCAGGTGTTTCCACAATTTCTGTTAAGGAGTTACGTATTTGAACGGCAGTGTAGTTATATTCTTAGAACCAAAGTTTGCGTTCCAAAATCTATTCACAAAGGTGTACCCTACAATATTCATCATCTAACGTTTGTACTCTAATGTTTATCCTCCAGTTTATCCGCCAAGATTATCCGAGAAATTTTGCCTCATCGAAAGGAAAGAAAATTGAATTTAAAACGACGAATATAGAAAAAATACGATGCGGGGACATTTGGCCGGAAGCACGTTTAAGATTTTAATTTCACCAAGCACTGGTTTGATAACTAGTTCGAATTCAGATGCTGTCTGGACGAGAATTCTAGCAGCTGGCTGCTCTGATCGCTAGTATTCCGTGCTTTCTCCTATCAATACCGGCGAATTCCGGAGCAATTCTCTAACGAACGGGTCACAAACAGCGCGCGATCATTCCTTCCTCTTCCTTGTCCTATCCTCTCCCCCTTACACACACACATTTACACTAACATGCATCACACTACCGCACATGCTGGGAGACCGATCGTGAGTTAAAAGCTTGTCCCGGCTGGTGCGGTGAACCGCTAGTGGGAGATACCTGGTTGTGGAAAAACCCGCAAGCCGACGGGAAGGTCGTCACCGGATCTTATTATCCAGTGGGGCGAATATCACAGCCAGTTCCCGATGGCGAAAATGCACTACACTTACGAGACTATTGACTGTAGCAATTGACGCACCCAGAATCAATCAATCAACCAAGAGGGCGTGCACTGACCTTGGTAAAGCGTGGGCGACAACAAGTAAAATTTGGGCGACAACAGCACGCGGGCAATATTCGTTGGCTGCTGGTGGAAAGAAGGGCGAACTAATTTCCTCTGCATATCGACAGCGCGAGGGAGTGCAAGTGCGTGGAGAGTTGGGTCAGGGTTCCGCACGCTGCTCAACTGCCATGCTGGTCGCCGCCGCCGCCGCCGCCACCACACGCCATGAGCGTTTAGCGGAATTAAGCCAAGTAGGCCATAAGGGCGAGCATTTAATGTTGTGACAAACACGCCAAAAATGTATCAATTGGAAACGGTTGTTTTTGCAGAATCTTCTCAGAATTTTAATTTTGTTAGTTTCAACAGTAGTGGTGATTGCGATTTGCTCCTGGGAATGATTTTTTTAACGGTAGCGTAATGCGTTATGGTGACGTTAACTGTAAAAAGTTATGAGATCTTTCAAAGTTCGTTGAATGTGTTTGGAAAAAGTTAGATGAGAAAACGATAAGGGTTTTGCGGAAGGAAATTTTTCGTAGATGACCTTTATTCACTTTCAAATTAAGAAATTATTCTCAAACACTGTGAAAAATTGAACGTAGTAAGTTTTTGCAGTTTGAAGCATTGTCAGAATCACGATTTAATCGCGAGTTTCTTAATGGCTGAAAAGCGTTTCCTTTTTCAAAATCTCCCTCCGTCAGTGAACAACTCAGCGCCTAACCTATTCCTATAATGTTTTCCAAACTAAACATTCGCCGACCCATAAGCTATTCCTATAATGTTTTCCAAACTATACATTCGCCGACTGATCTGGATTGAACTGAAGCCCTGCGAGTTTGGAAAGATTTGTTTAAATTTGGGGGTAAACAGTGCGATGTTGATAGATTTTTATTTCTTAATTAACTGTTTCATAATCTCATAGCCTGAAAGGGAACTGCGTGTGATATGTGTACGTAATTGAAGAAGTGGATGATCTCTACACTCAGAACAATGAGACAAGCTCCGAGGTGGAGCCAAGGGATACCACAGGCAAATGTGTAAAAGTAAAGGACTGAAAAAGTATAGAAATTTATGGACGTAATTTATAATCAATGATCGCTCCCCAAAAAATTCATATGAAATCATGAAACGTTTTAAAGATGTCTCTATTTTAACGAAATATGTAAAGTATGCTCGTATAACTACATGAATATGCACCAATTGAAAAAACATCGGCCAAATATGCGCTAACATAGTAATCTACGTAGCATCCAATTCTTATCAAATGTCAAGAAATTTCACTTACTTATGCCCTGAAGCAACAGACAAAAATATGCAAAATCATAGAAATTCGCTCCTCAATAATTACCATTACCAATATCTATCTATATTGTTAAAAATTCTACAAAAATAATACAAGAGTTCCTTGTTTCTTGCCGTTGCTGCGATGATTCTTTTTCTTCTATAATTAAGGAGTCTATTCATGAAAGTGTGTTTTGATTGAGCTTCTGACTATACGCTCTACTCGTGAGAATGATTGAGGAGGGAATGCAGTGTCTAGTAACTGACAGACGGGTCATTAAGAAGGTGAACGAAATGCTTGTGGGACCACCACTGGAGAGATGAGTTTCAGAAACAGAATGCTGTGTGTACAACACGTTCCACATCTTCCTATTTAGGCACACAAATAGGGCTGAAAATAACTAAGGAAAATACCGCCCCATCTGCACTAAGAATTTTTTTTTACAAATGTATGGTTGAAGATGTGGATTAAGTGAAAAGGGTCGAAGAAAAAGAATTTTCTCAAGTACGGAGAAAAAATGTCACAGCTAATATTAGATGAATGAATGTTGTGTAAGCAACTTTACGTAAGTAGTGTATAAATTATGCAGCAAAGATACAAGAGGAGATACAGAAAATACTTCATTTTGCGTTATGTATTACTATTGGCATTAATCAATGTTCTCCGTGCATTTAACACTATAAAATATAAGAGAAGAAAGGAATGAATTTTCTCTTGAGAGTAATAGAAAATACGTAGATAGATAATATAAATAAAAACACTAACGTTTCTGACAGAGAACTAGTAAAAAACATTAAATACACCATATGCCTTCCGCAGGCTCTGTAATTGAGCAGTACTGGCACATTGTCTACGTTAAATTTAGAGTCGGCTACAAAAGGGTATAATTAAAGAAAAACATTATATATGTTGGTATGGGCTTTAAATGTATATTTCATTGTTTATATTCGCTATTTGCGCGTGAGGCTGTAATATCGTATTTGTAAATAGATTACAATGTTTTATATTAAACTCTTTGCACTGCAGTGCATTGCGAAGTCATTAGCTTTAGAAGCAATTAATTACACATGATCAATATTAATTTATAGCCCTTACGACATGTGTCAGGATGGCCGAGCGGTCTAAGGCGCTGCGTTCAGGTCGCAGTCCACTTCTGTGGGCGTGGGTTCGAATCCCACTTCTGACAAACTTTTAGGCGACTCTCTCAAGTTGGAATAGGAGGAAAATAAATTCCTTGCACGAATGTGCTATTAAATCTTCATGAATGAGGAGGCAACACAGTTTAACCGTCGTGATAAGATACTTACTAATACAGTTGGCACAATGGCGCTCTCTACTTGCCAAGCGGGGTACTGCAGTTGTGGCCTATTTTTAGTCTGGCGGTGTGTTCGTAGACCGCCAACGGATACGTCTGACAGTGATGTTTTGGTACATATTTCAAACCTTCCGAGTTAATGCATCCTAAATAGAAATAAGTAGCAGCAAAGCTAATTATTGTAAGAATGTCACAGTAATTAGCTTTGCAATACACAGTGGGGA